CAGAGAATATGCAAGATCCATGCCTGGAAGTGGATTTATCATTAGAATGGTACCTCTGGCTTGACCATAGGTGTCATTTAGACCTATTAGGAACCGAATAAGTCTTTGATCCTATAAACACTTAGAGATTTTTGATTTTTCGTTACAAACGCAGATACAAGAACAAGTAATATCTGCATTTAAAGAGTCCAACTCATCCCATTAACGTTTCAATTTAGTGAAATAACCTGATATATCAAAATTATCTTGCACTAATCCATTAAGTTCCTTTTGAAGGTGAAAAAGTTTGGTACCATTAGACTTACAAACCTTTGTTCGAGGCTATCCCAAAGCTCCTTAGCAGTGTTGGAATAGATAACACTATCTCCAATCTCTTTGGACAATGAGTTGAGTAACCAAGAGGTTACCATTTCATTACAACAATTCCATTGAGAAAAAATCAGAAGTACTGGAAGTTGGTGCTTGACAAGTGCCATTGATGAAGCCTAGCTTCCTTTTAGCTGAAAGAGCTATCAAGATCGATCTCATCCACCCGAGAAAACATCGTCCATCAAACGCAGTGCTTATGAGGTTTATTACAGGAGATCCAGAGGGATGAAGATAATAGAGGTGACTGAAGTCCATAGCAGATGCTGCAGGTGCAACACTGGTTCCAGAATTATTGGAGGGTGATGAAGAATATCCCATTGTAGATGATAAGTGAATGAGAAATGGATCGAGCTTACTGCTTTGATACCATATACGAAATGGAGGAGACGTTTGTGGAATTTTTTTGATAATCTATTGATCATTATCTTCAATCTATAATAATGAAGTATTCTTTGCAGGAAGATAAGCAAAAACAAAAATATAGAAAAATCTCAGTTGTACACTTGTATAAATCTTGTAGAATTATTCTAACAACCTAACTAATTTTATTCCCTCACGTGCTGATACAGTGTACTGCTCACATGCTCTTTTTCATTTTTTTTCTTTCTGTAGCTAATTGATAGTGTGAAGTATGTTTGCCAATAGTTAATTTCTGAGGTTGATTTAGATTTATGTGCCATATATTTACATGATATCAGAGTCAGGTTCATCCATGTTTGGACTTTTGATCCACGCTCTTGTTGGACTTGGTCGTGAGTAGTGTTGTGAAAGCGCGCTTTAAAGCGAGGCGACCCTTGTGCGCTTTTTTATCTTGAGGCGAGGCAATCTGAAAAAATCTCTCACTTCAGATGAAGAAGCGAGAAGCGACCCTAAGGAAAAAGCGCGTTTTTTATATAAAAAAGCGACAATTAGGGTTTTTTTTTTAAAAATTAAGTTTTTTTTTAAAAATAATCTGAAATATAACCTTCTCTCTCCTCACGACTCTTCTTTCACGACTCTTTCCCTTTTTTCTCTCCTTGTGACTCTTCTTTCTCTCCTGACGATCTCGACTGAGGTTGTTGGCTGCCTCTCTCTTCAACCTCGACCGACTGCAGGTAACTTTTTGTTTATCTCTTTTTTAGCTAATGTTTGTTAGTTCATCTCTCTGAGTTTCGACTACTCTAGTTTTTTCTTCTTCTTCTCTTCTTTTCTTCATCTCTGCTGCTTGCTCTTTTCTAATTACTAACTGTTGCCTCCTCTATTTTTTTTTCAATTCTTTTGCTTTTTTTATTTATTTTGTGATTAGTGTGTATGCTAGCAGCTTTTTTTATATTATTTTTTGAAACTTTCTTTTTGTTTGTAGTATTTAGTGAACTTGTATTTTTTCATTCAAGATTTCACAAAAGAGAGATGTGGCTTGGGCATATGGAACTCCTATGGGTAGTAACACAAAAGTCAAATGTATCTTTTGCGATGTGACATACAATGGTGGAATCTTTCGTCACAAAAGACATCTCATGGATGGCTATAGAGATTTAAAAGTATGTCCGAAAGTTCCGAATAAAGTGAGGGAAGAGATCAAAGAATATATGTTGAAGAAAAATGAGTTTAAAACTCAATTAAACCATGAAGCATCCATGGTTAATCTTGTTGATAATGATGAAATGGATGATAATGAATTTAAAGTTAATATGTCGAAGCCAATGGGGCCTCCCTCAAAGCAACAAAGGATGCCTTCATGTAGTGGGAGTGGGTCTTTCATCAATAGCACCGTAAAGGGTCCTTTGAATCTCTATTTCTCGCAAAAATCAAACGAAAAGAGAAATGGTGAACCTTTTGACTTAGAATCTTCTAGAAAGATTTTGAGGGATCGTGATGTATCTGCTTTTGCTAGGTGGATGTATGATGCAGGATTTCTTTTCAATTGTGTTAACAACACAGATAGTTTTGGTGAATTCATTGAGGTAGTCGGCCAATATGGCCCTGGAATGAAGCCTCCCGCCTATCATGAGGTAAGAGTTCCTTTTCTAAAAAAAAAAGAGGTGGAGAGGACAAACAAGATAGTAGTAGAACATAAGGTTCAATGAAAAACGCATGATTGTTTCATTATGATGGATAAATGGACAGCAAGGAACGGAAAAATGGTCATTAATGTTTTGGTGAACTCTCCAAGAGGAAGTGTATTTCTTGAATCTTATGATGCTAGTAACTCTTTTACCGACTCTAATAAGATGTTTAATTTGTTTGAGAAGACTATCATGAAGGTAGGGCAAGAAAATATGGTACAAATTGTGACTGATAATGCAAGCGAGAACAAAAAAGCACTGTATCAACTTGATGTTTGGTGATATTTTCAAACAAGCCCCGTATTCTACAGGTGAACTTGAGTCTTGATATTTAATTTGCTTTTTTAAACTTCATGTTAGATTTCTTTATATTTTAACTGTCATTTTTTTGACAGTTTTTGGCAAGGCTGTTAAGATACATGCTTATATCAATCAAAGGGCACTGTTGTTGAATATGATGAGGAGATATACAAAGCAAAGAAATTTGGTAAAACCCGCCAAGACAAGATTCGCAACAACTTTTTTTACTTTATATAGTTTTTATAAGCAAAAGAAAAATTTGAGAAATTTGTTTATGTCAACTGAATGGAATGAGAGTATTTATTCAAAGGAACCTCTTGGTAAAGAAGTTGTGAGACATATCATTAGTCCATTTTTTGGAATGACGTTGTTCAAGCACTCAGAGTTGGTGGTCCTTTAATTCATGTACTTCGTATGGTAGATGGGGAAAAAAACCCACCAATGGGTTACATTTATGACAGGGGCGGACCCACATGGTGTCCGCCGGGTGCTCGAGCACCCATTAAATTCATTACAATATATATATATATCTATGTAAAAATTGATAGGTATTTGTATAAAATTAACATAGAGCACCCAATGAATAAATCATATAGTTGGCCCAATGGTTCTAGGATGGGTACTTAAGACTCTTTTAATGTTGTTGTACCAAGGTTCAAATCTCATTGTTAACACATATTTTTTATAGTTTCACTTCAGAGCACCCACAACCTTAAAATTCTAGATCCGCCACGATTTATGAAGCCATGGATAGGGCCAAAGAAAGTATTGAAAAGATATTCAATTATGATACAAGAAAATATCAAAGTGTTTTTGAAATCATTGATGCAAAGTGGACAGATCAACTTCATCAGCCTTTGCATGCAGCGGGACAAAATAGGGGAGGAGCTTGGTGTGTACATGAAAGCGGGTGGCCTACTTGGAATTGAATCAGTCATTAGAGCTAGAACCTTGAGGTCACCAGGTGAGAATTTCATCTTTTAACTGTTTACAACTTCAACTTTTAAGTTATTACACATCTTTTAAAATAACTCTTCTACAGTTGAATGGTGGATGCAATATGGTCATAATGTCTCAAACTTGCAACAATTTTTGCTACAAGAGTACAAAGTTTAACTTGTAGCGCATCCGGTTGTGAGAGAAATTGGAGCGTGTATGAACATGTGAGAAACTACATTACATTAATACATTATTACTAATTTAATTGATATCTTAATCATCCCAAGTCCTCCTATTATTACTTTCTACTATGTGCAGATCCATAGTAAAAAGAGAAATAGGCTGGAGTTGACACGCCTCAATGATCTAGTGCTCATCAAATATAATAGAACATTGGTGCGTCGTTACAAGGCTCGTAATACCATTGATTCAATTTTGTTCGATAGTATTGATGAGGCAAATGAATGGTTAACTGGAGCACCACAACATCATCAAGATGAACAAGTGTACGAAAAAGAAAGTCTCGCTTATGGTGATGTTTCTGTGGCAAGTGGTGTTGAGGAGAATATTTATAGTTTTAGGGGGAGTACATTGAGGGGCAAGGAAAGAGAAGTTGGAGGTTCTAGTTCAAGTCGAAACCTTGTTGATGAGTCTTCTGATGATGAAGAAGATGATGACCAAGTAGAACCCTTGGTTATAGCACTTGAAGAGTTTGAGGATCAAGTTGAAGAATAGGAGTTTGAATCTTTGTGATTTAATTATGTTTTTTATTTTTTGCTTTATATGTTATGACTTATGAGTATTTTTGCCTATGTAATTTCTTTCAATCTAAGATTATATTACCTCTATTTAGTTATTTAATATTTTTTATTTTTATACTAAATGTCGCTTTTTTTAATTAAAAAAAAGCGAGCGCTTCGCTTCACGCTTCTCGCTTCTGTGAAGCAAGCCCTCGTCGCTTTTTTCCGCTTCTCGCTTCCCAAAACACTGATCGTGAGGTGGGGGGGTGTTAGAGTGGGTAAGTGCTACATTGATTGAAGAATGAATTGATGATTTCCTTGTATAGATTTGAAGAAGAGATTGAGTTATGCACAAATATCATACAATACTAATATAAAATATTCTAAAAAAAAAAGTAGGAAATAGATTAAAGTTTTCTTTGTATTGATTTAGGATATTTGGAGTGGTTGAGTGATGACCATAAAGTGATTTTTAAATTTTGGATGCAGATGGGACATTTTATGGAGTTGATTATATCTCTCGTGACACCAAAGAAAGAAAAAGACTAAAGATATTTGAATTAAAGATGAAAGTTGTATTATATTATTTATGTTATATAATAAAATGAAAATAAATATATATATGACTATACCTATCTTTGCTTTAATTACTACAATAGTGCAATCCCATCACTTTTCTTTTTCTTTTTTCCTTATCCTTTTAGTTTCACCCACAACCAAATATCCTTACGAAATTAATAATGATTACGGTAAAGTGATAGAATTGTTTCGCTCTTAATTATAAGTTTTGAGTTTTGAATATAAAAAAAAATTCAAAAATATTATTCTTAAATAAATTATGCAATACACGATCTAAATTTAATAAAAGATCGAATATAAACTCAGACATAAAAATCGAAAAAGATAATCCTCATGAATCCTGTTGGACTATCACTTCCCTTTTCCCAAAGTTCTTATCTTTATTTAAAAAGCCATACCCCAATAATATTGCTAAAAAAGACAACTTCTTACACATCCAAGATCAAGTAAGTTCAAAATTAAGGCCTTTCATCGTAAATTATGAGATTTGAAAATTTTTTCGTTTTTTTTAAAAAAAAAGATACTAATCATAGAGAAAACAAAATATTCTCCACCTTCTATTAATTTTGTACTAGCTAGTACTCATTTTAGTGAATTGACTTGTAATTTTTTTTTTATAATGAAATTTGATGTGTGTTTTTTTTTTTCAGTCAGAAGAGGGAATATGGAAGGTGGAGCAATTACAACTAAGGATATGAAGGTGGAGATTAATTCATCGACGGAGCCGGAAAATATATCGCCACCATCGGAAAATGTAACGACGGGAGGATTAGCAAGGCAAGGAAGTATGTCCAAGAATAATTGTCTTTGTTCTCCGACGACTCATGCAGGTTCCTTTTTTAATCAAACTTCAATTGAATCGAAGTTCAGTTATATACACTAACAATATAATAATTTATTATTATTTTTTTAACATTCTCGATATAATTTTACTTGCACAAACAAGTTACTTTACTAAATTTATGCTGAAATACCAATCAATGTTACAATGGGTGGTCAATCACTTTTAATCTGAAAATTCCAAACAAAATCATGAGTGTTTACTTAGTAATATTGTATGATTTTCTTTTTTAAATATAAGCAAAAGAGTTTTGTCCAAAAGTTAGGTTCATCATTGTACGTATTATACAAAGTTAGTGTTGGTAATTTTTTTTGATTTAGCTATACTTTTTTTATATTGTCAATATATATAATTTAAACTCGTTTTTATGATGATACAGGTTCATTCAGATGTAGGCTTCATCGTGCTCCGACGATGACTAATCCAAATCTCCAGAGGACTAAAAGTATTGAATCAAATCCTAATAAGGCTAATCCAAATGCTTATACGACTAGCTAGCAATGGTGCTTAATTAATTCTATAGTTCTATGGAGTTAACAATAAAAATTGGATTATGTCATTTATGTTGAAATCTTTTATTTTAATGTATGTATTGTAACGTTGCTTTCTATTTGTTATTAATTAATTATAATTAAGTTGATCTATTTCCTTTGTGTTTTCACTCATAGAGACTTGAGTTCTTATAATGAAAGGTAGCTTGGAGTAAGCATATAAATGTACTGAGAGTTTTGTCCTTTTGTGGTTTGTGGATGTTAAAAGGGAAATTATAGAAAAGGACGCATGTATCGAGATATGTTATTAGTATTTATTTAAGTGTGTAGAATTTGAAGTCGATTTGGCTTTGCTCTATAATACAATGATTTCATATTTGAATTTGGGGCCTAATATCATGTTTTTGGCATGGTCGATTTGAGTTGTTGGAGGTAATTTTGTTTTTGGTTCAGAATATCAGGTAAAGATACTTTAATGAATATGATCGGATGAATAATTTAATTGTAATAGACAATTATGTAAATATTCCAATCTTATACCTTATAGAATTGAGATAATTTCATAAGTCTCCCTCGAGGTTTTACTGTATAACACTCATTTTTCTTGTGATTTACAATATCACGTCTACCTTCCTTGTTTTGATTTTTTTATAACTAATATTGCCGGCCTCTCTTTTTGTTTAAATCCTTCCTTCTATGGAAGTAGCATTTAAGCTAAAGTATTAGGCTTCATTAATCGCAGTTTGTCTATTTACGTATCATAGCAATAGTTTAATTAGCTAGTGAATCCGATTTGTTTATTTTGCCCTTTTCATAAAATAAATATATAATAGGGAAAAGTACACAACAAATCACCATTCGCGACTAACATTATACATTAATTATGTAGGCTGACTTTGAGTTTGTATAATTAGTCACATTTGTATATGTATAATTCGCCAGAATATACAAATATATGCGTATAATATACGATTATTTAACCTATATACATTACAATCCACCTCTCTCCCACTCTCTCCCCTCTCGCTTGCTCTATATACAAATGTATATGTACAATATACAATTATATACATACATGATTCACCTCTCTCCCATTCTCTGCCTCTCTCGCACGCCTCTCTCGTCCCTCTCCCACTCTTGCTTCCCATATATACAAATACATATGTATAATATATACAATTATTTAACCGATATACATATCCAATTCACCTTTCTCCCACTCTTTCTCCCTATCTCTCCTCTCTCTTCCAGTCTCGTTCGCCTCTCTCCTCCATATAACATGTAGCTACGAATTGTACTTATCAAACTATAGATATGGAGAGTAATTAAACTATTTTTAAGTGGCTATATATGAAAGTTTCCCTATATAATATCATATTCAAAATTATATATAACTAATTATGCGGTAAGTAAAAAAAAACTTAATTAAAGATCATTTATTTCAATTGCATACGTTACCAAATAAGACTTTCATTCTCGACAACCACAGAGTGCTCATTGTGTTCATTATATCGAAATTTCTTCTGAATTAGAACATAATTCATTGATTTTTTGTTGTGTGGTTTATACAATGTATCCATGTGTTCATTATATCGAAATTTCTTCTGAATTAGAACATAATTCATTGATTTTTTGTTGTGTGGTATATACAATGTATCCATTACACGTTGTATATTTTTCTGTCTACATTCAATTTATATGTACTTCATATATTACTTGGTTAATGTGTGTTTAATTTACATTGTTATGTTATTGACTACAAATATTCATTTGAATTATATAGTTGTTTATAAGTTTAAAATAGTTTTAAGTGTATTAACATTCTATATGAAAGTAGTTAATTTGCTTAAAAATCATTTGTATATGTATATAATTGATATCGAATTTCAAATTAAATTTGTTTGTGTGTCTAAGCATATTGTATATTTTGTATATAAGTCGTTTTGTATTTTAAGTCAACAACCGTGTATAGTTGAATAATTTTCATTTATACATATCAATTTATATATATGACGATTTGAGCTCTATATTATATAGATTGTACACAAAATATACCAATAACAGGCCTTCATTATACAAATATATAGTTATAGTTGTATAACTATACAATATTAGTCATGTATGAATATAACTAGAAATAGCATAATTGAATACTTATACATATGGTAGTTAGTAATTATTTAATAAATACAATCGGCTAAAATTATAACTCATTAATTATGTCATATACCAATTGAAAAGAAAAGAAAAAACAAAAACACGGCTATAACTTTAAGTCTTCTGCTTCTTGTTGGTCCGTTGCACAATAATCATCTTCCACAGTTGTTTTGTTTTTAATTATACAGTGATACAATTAGAATTATAATGAATTAAATAAAATAACTGAATTCCTTTAATTATGTACTGAAATTTTTCAACTTTTCATTATTACATTAACAATTAATGATTACATAGTTAATGAGTTTACTTTCAGATTTCAATTATTTTTTTAAAAAAATGAATATGTCATATATAAATTTTCATTGTCGTTGTTATTCTTGTTCAAACACAAATGTATTTCACTTACATTTCTTTAGTAAATTAATTTATGTAATTGTGAATTAATATTACTTGAAATTGATTTTGCACTATTAGGATGATTGATTCAAAAATTTTAAAATTTGAGTTTTGATTCGATTCAGTAATTTTATGGGGGTGTTGATAGATTTAAGGAGCAAATTAAGTGGGTATGCTAAAGTGAGATAGTGTGTAGATTCGTATAAAAGGAGAAAAAGGATTCTACATGTTTTGATAAACTAAAAAATAAAAAAGTTGGAGCCTGACTTAACGTCTTAAACAATAATTGTTATTCATAACTTAATTTAAAGCATAATTAACTATTAAATGTTAGGTAAGTAACGTAATTTTTCCTTCAAAAAATGTCAAGCCCAATTCATTATTATATGTGGCCCACGATGGGCCAAATCTTTTTTTAAGGAAATATATTTTGTAATGATTTTTTAATTTAAATTTAAATTTTAAAATATTAATATATGTAAATATTTATAAGATAATAATAGGAGTACATGATTTTGTTATGCAAATATTTTGAGTACAACCGTACAAGAGAATGTTCTTAAACATAAAAATTTGTTAAATTAATATATATATATATATATATATATATATATATATATATATATATA